TTTTTATGAGTCTTGGAATTTTGCATCTGGCATTTCTTCCGCCTTGCGCTACAGGTGCTAATCGGTGAATATAGCATTCACATCAGAATATTTCCTCCTAAGATACTGTAACGCTTTCGCTACGCTCAACTTACTTGGGTGCTCTTTTCGCAGCGATTGTTTACTTTCGGCACTGCTCTGGAAGAGGTCATGTTCACAGTTTGCGGAGGAAAATTTATAATATTTTCCTCCACAAACGTTATTACAGATATTTTTCCTCCAATAAATATTCTCACCGCCTCCTACGTACGAAATGTTTATATTTTAATGTTTATATTTCGTTGAATGTGCGTGTCTGTATCCGATTTATGATCTTTTTTCCCTAACTCAATTTGTATCTTCAACGTTTTTATTCCAATAAATAAAAATCATTTGTAAAATATTTATTTGATGCTTTGATGTTTGCTTTGCTAATTGTTTTGACTTTTAATTGAAAGATTAGATATGTTGTACAATTCAGCAATCCATTCCATTCAGAAATCACTTAAAAGTGCACAACAATTTTCCATTATTTCCAGCAATTAATTTGAGAAGTCCCAATTACAAATTGCTAATGAATTGCATTTTGTATCTTAAGCACTTTAAGTGTCTAATTAAGTTGTGTATTAAAGTATTTTTCAGTGGAAACTCAATGTAATTAAATGGGAATTACGCTCATTTTATGAAATAGCACGAAAAATGTTATCTATTAGATAGAATATCTATTCCTGATACTAAAAAAATAGATGAACGTTTTAAAGCGTTTATATAAACTAATGAATATATTATTTTATAATTACTTAAATATGTGTATGAATAAATATATCTAATCATTACATTATTATTATTAAAAGTCACAATAGAACAAATTGACCTTCTAACTTAATTGTGACTCATCTAAACTAAAATAAACATGTTTCTTCACGGAGAATGATTCCAAATGTCATTCTGTTTTATTAAAAGAAGAATGGATTACCGAATTCGGGACCCTTTGAATGCAGTGCACGACTAAAGCGTATGTTTCTCTATGTGATTCAAAGAATTTAGAGTTGTCATAGTTCTTTAGCTCCCATTTATCAAAGGCAATGATTAACAGAAGTGTGTCCAAATAGATTTCTTGCATAAACACTAAACGGATTTTTTATATCAAACTTAAATGAAACTAGGACTATTTTTAAACCTAATAATGTCTCTCGACTTAAGAATCCAGACCTCAATCAACAGAATGTGAAAGAGACACTTCAACAAAAATTAGACGGATGTACTTGAGTCGTTGTTTAACAATTCGATGTCACGAACAGATAAGATGAACTGATGTTTCACTTTGTAGTGCATAGAATCTACAGGTGTCAATATTCTTCAATTTAATTTTTTTTTGGAAAACGGTAGTTAACATGAGCATGTTTGATTAAGAAATTAATGACATTTTAACTATCTGCGACCTGCAGGAACCATTGTTAGTACTCATACCGTCTAAATGTGGATATCCTGCTAAAACGTTTAGCTATTTCGTTAACATCGAATATCAAAGATTCGTTAGTCAGATGAATGTACATTGGTGTCAACACGCTTTTTGGATTGTCTTAGATCTTTGGTATTGACCTATGACTTTTCAAACAATTTATATACAATTTATAAACAATTATAAACAATTTATATGGACCATAGAGATGTCCAGTTACTTTGTGTTTTATATAAAGTCTTTTGGCAAGCCTTTAGATTGTTGCATTGCCATCTTATGCTTCTTGTCTAGGTATCACTAATACATATATGTATATTTTATCATGGATGTCTTCTTTTAAAAATTTTACTCAACCGCAACAAGTTTTTAAGTTCTGATAATACTGTTTTTACGTAACTGTTTTTTCACAATTTTTTTATAATTTCTTCATATATAAAACAGATTCGAAATAAGAGCTATTAGGTATCTACCAATCTCAAGTCCCATTAAAAACTCTATGAATAAAGCGCGAAGAACAGAAAACTGATTTATAGCCAGATAATTACACCAGCATTACTTTATGGGTGTATTGCGTATAGCAAAGCTGCCGACTCTACTATACAAAAGCTACAAGTTGCTGAAAATCAGGCTCTCCGAAGTCAGGCTCTTCAAAGTGCCTTGGTACATCCGCACAAACGACATGTTAAGAGACCTTAGAATAAACCCGATCACAAAATACATAAGGGACAGAGCCCTGAAATTATATGCGAAAACTGACAGGCTATCCTATTTAGCACTATCTAATCTTAGAGTAATCACTCTCTGCACGGGGGGTACGCAGATTTTAGATCAATCACTGAATAATCATGAAGCTTATAAGGAATACATAAATTAGTCAATGAGATGGGTGGGACCCCGTAGTGCCCCCAGCTATCAAAGAGTAAAAGTGCCCAGTTGCGCTAACTCGAAAAAAGGATCAACATACATACATACGTATATTAGTTATAAACAGATCATGATTTAAAGGAATTATCAAATTAACTGCTTTATTAGCAGTTGATGGAAGACGAAAATATCAACTTAAAAAGAGAAAGAGCAAGTACTTCTTTTGTTTCTGCGAGTACTATTATTATAAAACATTGATTTGGTTGAATTAAATTCTAATCATGGAAGCACAAAATTAATCTTTAAAACGATAAACTATAGAATTACAGTTATATAAACTATAGTGCTCAGAATTATAGAAATATTGGCCATTATCCAATTAAAAACACTGCCACAATCTCTATTAATTTAATAGTAAACTAATTTCCAGTAATTAATAATCTTGTTAATATTGTCATGGACGAAATATGGGATCCCCATATTTAGTACATTTAACACACCGGTATGGTGTATATAATCAATCGTTCTATTGGGAGTCTAATACCATTAAAGTTCTTTTCTTATTACAACTATAACATAGCACGTCTACTTACTAAATCAACATCTTTGTAAATTCTAAATATATTCTATATGCAATTATGAAAAGTATTCCTTGTACTGTGAAATGTGAACAACAGCAAATCGAGTTTATTTATCTGAGATACAATGTTGAATTAATTCATGTAATTATCCAAAAATTATCTTATCATTTCATTTGTCGTTCGTTTTCCTTGTCGTAATTGCTGTAGCGTGAGAAGCTTCAATTTAATATTAAAGCCAACAATTTTCCAAACCTGAAACTGATTTAATGATTCTTTTTAAATACAATATAAATAATTTATTCGTTTATATACCATTTTTCATAACCTATTTTATTTTAGTTTTGCTAAATTTTTTTATTCTCCAAGTGCCAGAGCAGCTTTAAATATGCAATAGTGATGTTGAATTATTTATTATCTTCTAATCAGTATAACACAATCATGTGTGAATAAATCTAACTATTCAGATTATGTATCTACAAATAATAATGACAAAAAAAATTATTTAATTTATTTACCTTTTGGCACAAATTTCAAAGGAGAAGGTTATGTGGTCCGTAAATGTTTGAGCACTGACATAAGCAAAAAATACCTTTCGCGTATGTTGCCATATACCATATGCACACCCAACATTTGCTTAAGCCAACAACCGAAGACATCATCAGACACACACAGCCCATCAATTTCATTTAATATACCTACACTATATTCTACTAGTGGATGTGTATATATCAGATGTCTAAAAATATATTTCATTAAATCGTCGTCGGCGCCGTTGCTAGAAACTTGAAATGACAAAATCTTTTTTTGTCATTGTCTTGTGATTATTTTCAAAATTATAAATAATAGATAAACTATGTATATTAAATATTCATAATCAAATTATGTGATGAAAGATATATCAAATGAATCGTTTATATAAGGCAGGAGTTTAAATATAATATGTAGATATATAATGTATATTATATAAAAAAATATATTTTCTACAATTATTGTATGATGTGAATTTCTTTAACTTTTAGGAACTCACTTATCAAATGCTGTTCTTTAATATAACGTTAATTAGTTTTATATTCTTACATTACATTTGCAAATATTTTTTAGGTAATAATGTCTTCCGAGGCTGAAATTATTATCAACTTATCTGCATAGATTAACAATTTAAAATTCTTTCATATGTGATCTATCACATGATTTAAGAAGCCACACCATGTTTTCATATCTATACTTTCTTGAAGTATTTCACAGAAGTATTTCAAGTATTTCATTTCTATAATATAAACAACTCGTTCATTAACAACTCGTTGACATGTCATTAACACAGACTTGTTAAAACTAAAATCTTTCCAGAGCATATGAAGAGATAAACTGACATTCATAACTTTGTTTAAGGCATCATTAACAGTGATTTACCGATTTTCTTAATTATTGAACACCTACTGTTCAATATGCCACCAGTCTATTAACAGCAGCAATCAGTGCACCTTTCACGATTCATCAGTAATTGATAGCTGCAAAGGTTTGTGGTTGTGATATCACAACGGGCCATTATTTAAGCTCAAGTAACCCTAGGGTACAAAGCCGCCACTCCAACCTAACCTAATCTATCTTTTTAGTGTAGTATCCTCTTAATTTTTACTGCAGAATATTTTTCATGGATATACATATATATATATACATAAGTAAGTTGTAAACGTTGCTGGGTTACATATTTTTTATTGAACTATTTCGAAATCAAAATCATGGCATTAGTTGGCAGATTAAATATCAGCAGATTGAGCTTATTTTGAAAAATCTGCTACCAAATAATATCCTGTAATTATTAAAATAAAAATTGATCATTTTATGATGATTAAAAATATCGTTTTCATTCCTTTTTTCCTTAAAAATATTTTTAAAATGTTCCATTAAGTTTAAGTTCTATTAAAAATATCAGAAAATTATTCGAAATGTATGTGACTAAGTGAGCGCTAAGAAATATGCTGCCATTGGCAATAATTCTTCTATTCATAATTGCTTAACTTTTAAATACAAATATTAAATACAAATATTGTAATAATTTTACTTTTTTCTTACAGGTCAAGGAACATTGATTACGGTTTATATTGTAAAATGGCAGGATAGTTATTAAGCTCACATATTAAAGCCAAAATTGCACTGACAAATTTTCATCTCTCTCTTACTAAATCGGAATATTGCATCATTGGTGTTAAAGTAACGAATTTTAAAAAGGAATTACTAGAAAACGCATTAAGCATCTATCGAACACGGCCAGAGTCAAAGCAATATCTGATTTCAAGGCTTTTACTAAATCTAACAAACCAAAGAAACCAGCTTCAACCGCAGCAAATAGAGTTTAGAATAGTCCAGTAGTCCAAGAGTATGTCGCTTAATCGTTCATAGCACGCACCTATTGTTAGAAGTTGTTGCATCATCACACTTGCAACATCAACCGCAACTAAACCATACAAAAGTAATTGTGAAAAGTATTTGAATAAATTTTAAATAACAGAAGCGCAAAGCAAACATAAATTCATAACTTATTAAATTTAAGCAAACAATCCAACATTAGTAGACCAAAAAATAACTTTCACCTCTCAGACACATTGCACCCAAGCTTTATGCTACACGCTCACATCCCAGAGGTTGAATGTAAATCCAAGATATCACAGTAATAGAATAATTTCAATAACAAAAGCAAAAGCAAAAGCAAAAGCAAAAGCAAAAACAAAATCAAGCAAACAAGACACGGCACGCCCAATCAAATATCAACCGTCCAAAGCTCACTTTAGGCAAATTGCATTAACTAACACTAAACAGCACTTTCGTTCAAAGAAAATCTCGCCTTTCTCACTTCCTCGCCAGATAATAAAATTTTAATCTAATTTACATTTTAAACAACTACAACTACACCAACGTTAGCAACAACAACGATAATGTTTGGTAGCAGCAAACGATTTACGAACCATCTAATATTAGCGCTTTGTCTGCTCCTGGTGTGTACAACAACACTTACGCTTGCTCAAAATACAGAAGAAAACACCACGCCCATAAGTAATGTCACAGCGCTGCCTGCAACGCAGGAGGACATCTGCAAGGATGGCCTCATACTAAAAGTTTGGAAACCGCAGGACAATATAACGATAGGCGATCGTGTCGCGCGTGGTCTATGTTATTTTATTGCGATGGTTTATTTGTTTATTGGCGTTTCAATTGCTTCTGATCGTTTTATGGCAGCGATTGAGGTGATCACGTCCAAAGAGAAGGAAGTTGTTGTCAAGAAGAAGGGTGGTGAGAAACAGATTGTAGTTGTGCGAGTCTGGAATGAAACTGTTGCTAACTTGACATTAATGGCGTTGGGCTCAAGTGCTCCGGAAATCCTGCTTTCTGTTATTGAAATGTTTGCGAAAAAGTTTGAAGCTGGTGATTTAGGACCTGGTACAATTGTAGGCTCTGCTGCATATAACTTATTCGTTATCATAGCATTGTGTATAGTTGTGATACCGAAAGGAGAAGTGCGTAAAATTAAGCATTTACGAGTGTTTTTCGTCACAGCAACGTGGTCAATATTTGCCTATATATGGCTATATTTAATATTGGCTCAAATTACGCCTGGCCGTGTTGATGTGTGGGAGGGCTTGTTAACGTTTATGTTTTTCCCTGCAACAGTATTAACAGCATACATTGCTGATCGTCGTCTATTAATCTATAAATATTTGGATAAAAATTATCGTATGAATAAGCGTGGTGTTATTGTAAGCGCCGAGGGCGATGCAGCGCTAGAAATGAATCAACCGGAGGAAACCGACATTAAAACCTTCGATGAGAGTGAGGAAACTAAAGACTTTGAGGAGGCGAGACGTGAATACATTTCGACGCTAAAAGATCTACGCAAAAAATACCCACAAAGCGATCTGGAGCAATTAGAAATGATGGCACATGAACAACTCATAAATCGTGGACCCAAATCTCGAGCATTTTATCGTATACAAGCAACACGAAAGCTGATGGGTAGTGGCAATATAATGAAGAAAGCCCAAGAACGTGCACAAATGAACTTAAGTGAAGTTAAAGCGGAATTGCAACGCGTAGATGTGACCATTCAGGAAGAGGAATCACCAATGCAAATCTTTTTCGAACCTGGTCATTATACGGTTATGGAAAGTTGTGGCGAATTTGAAATGCGGGTAGTGCGGCGTGGTGATATTTCCGGTTATACAACTGTAGAGTATGAGACAGAAGATGGTTCTGCTGAAGCTGGTAGTGATTACATTGGAAAAAAAGGTGTACTTACTTTTCTACCCGGTGTGGATGAGCAACGCTTCAAAATTGAAATTATAGATGACGATGTCTTCGAGCAGGATGAACATTTTTATGTGCGTTTAAGTAATCCATCCGAATCCGCTACACTATCAACTCCAAAGGTAGCCACTGTTATGATATTGGATGATGATCATTCTGGCATATTTGCATTCCAACAATTCAATCATGAACTTAATGAATCGGTAGGCTGTTATGAACTAAAGGTACAACGGTATTCCGGTGCGCGCGGAAAAGTTATTATACCCTATTGGACGGAGGATGGTACTGCGAAAGCCGGCAAGGAATATGAACCATTGCAGGGTGAATTGGTATTCGAAAACAATGAAATTGAGTGAGTACAAAATTATATATATACATATCTTATTAAAAACTACCTCTATATAAATTACTTCCTCTAAAACATTATTTTATTTAACAGTTTTTTTATAGACTATTTGGTCTATTTTATTTTTAGCTTAAAATAAAATATGTTAATTCTGTGGTCTAAACATTCAACGGGTTATTAAATTTAAATAAATATTTTTTTGTTCTGTTTTAAAATAATAATAAAATTTATTAAATAGCCCACAAGAAAACCTTAAAGTGTATATATCTTATCAATAAATGTTGATATCGATAAAGCCATACATGATGATGTGTAATTTGTGCAAAATTATTATACTTAACTTTATAAATAACATATATATTATATTGTGTTAATATTATGTTATAACTATAATGTTACAAACTTCAAATAATGATCTTGCTAATCGAAGTTCCGAGTATTTTGATATTTGAGTCAGGCCGGTCTGGCAATCTACTCGGTGTCTGAATCGTTTGTATATTATGATCTGTTGTACGCATTTGTATAAATCATAAAAAAGACAGTGGACATAGTCTTCAAATAGTTCCAATGATTTTATATATTAAGTCGAGTATAATCGCGCTAGTGGAGTTCTTATCCATTTTGAAGCACTAGATTGGTCTTTATTAATTAATAAATATAGTTTTAATCAACAATACATACATAAAAAGTTAGCGTCCTGAATGTTTTATATTGAAATTTTTGGTATAATTTTATATTTATTAAACTTATTAGCAATTATTTGGTTATTCTTCTCCATTCTTTACATTATGTACTTATGTACTTTACCTAAATGTCCAGAATAGTCCGTTACCGAGTTTCGACCTGTCGCAGCATACGTTCGCTTCAAATATTTTTTTAGTCTGAAGTATCTTGACCTCTTCTAACGATTTGACCAAACCAGCGAAGTCGCTAGATGTTTATTTTACAGTAATATACCAATGTCATGATAAAGCTCATACAGCTCGTGGTTCATTCGGATACTATACTTGACACCAAATCGTTAAGAACCAAAGATCTTAAGACGAACTTGTCTTTACATTAAGTGCCAAAATTAACATATACTGTGGTTGACTAAAATGAAATTAATTTTCAGTTTTGAATACATGATTATTGGTAATTGATAATTAAATATTTGAGGTTTAAAATGTGATGAAATTAATAAAATACTATTGCATTAGGTCGAATGTTAAATTCTCCCTAAACTTAGATCAGGAACAGCAATTTTCTTAAACAGTTTTTAAAATAGAAATAATTTTTGTAATAATGATAATATCTTTAGAAGGGTTCGAATAGAAATAAAAAGACAACAACAAAATTTTTTAATTAATAATTTGAAATTTGGACAAACAACGTTGTTTGGTATTGCCAAGTACCCGTCATCAGTGGTCTTAGGAAATATTCGAATTTTTTAATTAGTTTATAGTCCATATATAATATGTTTAGACTGCAAGTGCTAGGCTTAGAACTTGTGCCTGTCAAATTGGAAGCCATGGCACAAACTTTCAATGCTCAAGTTCCAAGTTTTTTGTCTTTTCTATTTTTTAAGTGATACTTTCCAAAGCACTTGCCGTGCTTTAAATAAGAACGAGCTTATAAACTACAGCTTTATTTGGAAACGCAAGTTCAACGAATTGACAGTTAATTTTTGAAGTTGTCTGTTTTTATTTTAAAACAATTCTTTTTGCAGAGACATCTGTTATACATATTTTTATTTACTATATGTAAAGCTTTTTGTCTGTAATTTTACAAAGAAGCTATGCAAAGGTTACACTACAAGTACTTGGCAATACTCGAAACAGCATTGTATGGTCACCCAAATTTCAATAAATCAACTAAAAAATTTTAGTTGTCTTTTCATTTCTATTCGAACCCTAACTTTAAAATAATTTCTTTTTGTCATAAAACGCGTCACTTTTGGCAAAGAAAATTAACATTAAGATAATATCTTTTCTCAACAGATCCTTTGAACCGTTTAATACTTTTAAATTGAAAATTTGTTAACAGGTTAAATTCTATATTCCCTATTAACAATTTTAGACTTGTTTAATTCTAGAAGCATAGAAGCATTCGATCTCCATGATCTAATTAAATTAATTGCAATTATTTATCATTTAAATAAATGTCCTTATTAAATTTATTTCTATTACGAAAGAAAACTATGTTACTAATAAATAGTTTTTAAATAGTAGTGTCTAAACAATAAAATTTTTATTTTTAATTAATCGATTATTTGGTTAAACATAGCGATAAGATTAATATTTCGTTTAGTTTTTCGCAAAAACTATTTTAACAGTAATTATTTGAACTTAAGCGGTTTCTGTTGAAGAAGCGCAGCTACAAGTATTTTCATTTAAAATTCGTTCTCTTAATGAAGCTTGGAACACGTTTGTCATTAAGATACATAAAGGACATAATAAATCTCAGCATTTACTTCTGCAAATGTTCCAAAAGCTTATGACTTCAATATACGTGAGCACATAAATCTGCTGGTTGTACACGTGACATGCTACTCCTTATGATCCTTGTTATCCTTGCGACATGTACAAGTTCAGTATTTAGAGTCATGTGTTGACATTTAAATCGCCTGTAATATATAAATTAAAATTTGGCAATCCATTTTATATGGAATATGCATGTCTGTGGCTCATACTGTTACGCTGCAGGACATCGTTTGGCAACTTCAACTGCTGAGTTATAAATGGTAGCTTTCTTCCTTCGACATAGTTGTTTACTAGTTTATGGTCAATGTCACGCAATGCGTATTCAAACAATAAAACAAATAATTATATTTAAGGAAAAAATTGATAATTATTCGCTTTTATTTCAACTTTATTTTTAGACACTTTTGTATAGTTTCTTGGGAAAAGCAATGAAATTCGTTAAAACTAAGCAGATTAAATCGTGCATTAATTTACATTAATTTCCTTTTATTTATTTCTTGTTACATGATTTATAAAAACAAAATTTATAAATCAAACCTGCACATTTGGCACATACTCGTATTAACTGTGCACGGAGCTCAACAAATTTTACAACCGCAATTAACAAAAATGATGTAAACAATTTTCAGTTTTAATTACCCGTCATTCAATGGAGCAGTCAATCAAACAACCAAGCAGTCAATCAGTGTTGCGTGTGTATGTGTGTTTTTGGTGTGCGGTGAATGTGCGGTGTGGTGAATATTACCCGTAGGTGGTATATATGATGCTGTCAGGAATAAATGTGCAGAAATGTGTTTGTTTACACTTAATAAATCAGTATATGCGTTGCCGTGCAAGAATATAAGTACACGGGTAAAATTTTATAGCAATATATCGTTATGTGCCTACACATATGTATGTGCTTAAATGGCCACATATATTTTCAACACAAAGGTGTTGGACTGTGCTGTAAAATTTTCTTTATTGTTAACGTTCTTTTTTTTTGCAATTTCCTTTTTTATTTCGCATGGACGGAAACCATAAAATTCCTTGAATGTCATGGCATATCGAATTCTTTTTAAATCAATACAATCAGCATTGACCACTCTCACTCACCACAATCACATTCATTTGCCATTATGTACTGCAATTACGTAGCCTAGCTGCGCGTCTTTTACACTTAATTCACCAAGTATGTACTATATCTCACATACCACATATCTATGGCTCACATATCAACATATCTACAATGTGACAAGTTGCTGCTGCATGCGGGTACGTGATATTTCAAGTACATCTCACTGCCAGCAACATATTATGTATATTATGAAATTCACTTATGTTTTTAGCAATTCGTATGCTCGATTACCACATAACAATAAAGCTGGTCTGACCGTAAAGTGGGCTTTTGTTTAACTGTCATTCAAACATATTCTCAGCACATGAATGCCGTATTAGTTCAGCCCAAAAACATTTTGACATGTCTGTCTGTGTGTGGTATATTGTAATCTGTAATATGTAACGTATATTCATGGACTAAATTCTGTCTGTTTCACATTTAACTTATTGCTTTTTCCAACAACCAATAAAACATACTATAATTCATGAAAATGCTAACTGGAGAGATATTTAAAATATCTTTAGGGATAGTATACAATTTATTTCAAATTTTTGTTGCTAATTTCTATTATAATTAATAACCTCAACATCATTTAGTATAATAATTAAGTCTGACATTAAAAATTGGTTGTATTTTTATGAGGATATTTACGTTTCAATGAAGTACAATTTAAAAAATTAAGTACTAAAAATACCGAATAAAACAAAATTCTAAGAAAAAGAATTTAAAAGCTAAATTTAAAAGCTAATATCTCCTTTGCTAACGAGCTGCACTAAAAACACTGAATAAAAATAATAAAAGTTTCTTTAAAATCCCTGAAAAAATTAGAAAAATTTGTTTACAGCATCTGAATTGCTAACTTACTGCACTAAAAAATACTGATTGAAAATTAAACCAATATATCAAAACATCTGTTTTACAAAGTATTACTAGTATTAATATACTAAAAGAAAAGAACCAAGATGTGAAAATTCTTTTAAAGACTTCTATTCATGGCTAACTGCACTAAACACACTGAAAGAAATTATTTCAATGCTCTATTGCTGTCAACATACTTCTAGTAGTTTGCGCCAACCAGCCAGCCGAATCAGTCGCCTGCTGTCGCCAGTTGGTAGTGCCTAGGGCATGCATATTGTTGGTCATCTGATCGTTGCACCGAAAATACTGACATTTAAGTAACCATATCCGAGGCTTCCTCTTCGTTTTCATTGAAGTGATGTTTTATTTACTGGTATGTTCACACTCTCTCTCCTCCCGCTTTATTGCTAGTTTACTGCACCACAAATATTAAATAAAAATAGGAAACGTTCCTTTAAAACATTTTTACTGCTAGCCAACTGTACTAAGAATACTAAACATAAATAATACACATTTTTTGAATGAATACGAAATGAAAAAATTTCTTCAAAACCTCTCTATTATTATCAAACTGCACTAAAAACAAT